TGGTCACCCCATTTTGCCCTCGAAGAGAAGAAGCCGAGCAAGTGACGAGCACCATCGGGCAGTCGATGGTGACTCATGATTGATCATGGACTGAGTTCGAAAACCAACAGCCGTGCTTTGGCACCTCTGCCTCTCCTTCACCAACTCTTGGTGCTGCGTCTCGCAGACATTTTGCACCATCCTTGGCAGCAAAAGCTGTGAGAAGCGGAAACAAGACCATAGCCACACTGCCAAGTTGGGTCAGCAAGCGCTTGCTGCGGCTCACGGGCCACATGTAGGACAAGGCAGTAGCTCTGGTCTCGTCGTGTTGTCAAGATTTGATGGCACGGGCATGCGGGCCGGGACAGAATTCCGGCTGAAAGTGTACAGACAAGCACATGAGCCCCGGGCTGCAACCCGCGTATTTCCCTGCATGTCGCTCGCCGCACAGCTTCCAGTTCCTCCGCCCAAGAATGCAAAGAAAGGCAGTGGGATGAGCCGTGGAACTGAGCCTCCTTGATGGAAAGTATCATGCCATTTGCCTTCTCCAGCTCCTCTTTGTAGCCCTGCGGCTGAGGCATAGGTTGAATGGCTCTCGCGCTGCCTAACTAAGACCATCAAGTTTTCGCGAGAGCAAACCGGCCTCGGCTTCCAGGAGGGCTTGTACCGATGCTTGCTTTGCGGACTTTGCCTGAAAGCACTCGCACTTAGCCGTCACTGCACAACGTCGCACCAGAACGCACCTCCTCTTCCGCCTCCTCCACTGCCTCTGTGTTGCTTTCATTGCATGCTTCCGGCGGCAAGCACTTGCAGGAGTGAATAGAGAGCTGTGCGGATGGTCCTCTCCAGTCGGTATGGAGTTTCGAACTCTGTTCGGCGAGGAGCCGGGGAAGCTTGCGAGCGAGACTGGTTCTCCGAAATTGTGATGTGGCGTCATTCGAGCACAAACTGATACGTCAGCTCGATGGCTCGATAGAGACCAGCCAACTCGCCACGCAGACGTGTTGCCTACCCGCTGCCCCGAACTACCTGTAGCACTTGCTAAGCACCGAGAAGCGAACTCGACGAAGCTTGTTGGTCTCCACCTCAGGGCATCCGGTTTCAACACTTGTGATAGTGTCGAGTTTCGACAGTGGCATTTTCCCTGCCTCCACGTTTTCTTTGTCTTCCAGTGGAGTGTACGGCGATCCAGGCCTGCAAAGACTGACGATGCAGCGGTGCAAAGCGCCTTGAAAGAAGCCCTGAAATGTCAGGGCGAGAAAGTAATTAGCCAACACAGACATTGGTCTTCGGACCATTGACCATAGACATAGCCAGCCCGATGCAAATCTTCGCGCCATCCTCCAACCCTGAACGTGGCACTTTTGGGGCCCCGGCCCGCTCAAAGCCTTTGACCTTTCTGCCATGCAACGCAGGACACACATTCGACAAACTCGGTTGGTCTTCAAGAAGTAAAAAGAATAACAGATTCATCGCAGGTCTCCAAGCTTGCAGTCCAAGCCGTGAGAATGCGTTGCGAATCCGGGCTTGTGCAAGGGCCCCTCACGATGCACGGCTAACCCTCATGTACTTCCCACAGCCCAGCTGGCGAATTTGACAAGCTTGAAGGGTTGGCCGGGCGATACCGTATCAGTCGCAAGATCTGATCCATCATGGCATTGCATCGTTCTACCAGTCATCGCGCAAAGCCCTGACAGTTGATATTTGCTTCGTAATAGCTGCAGCAACAAGGCATGTGCGC